TAGAGGAGATGAGACTAAGGTGGCTGCAGAGGTCAGGTCCTGAGGGCTTGTGTGCTAAGCTAGGGAGTGTGAACTTTCTTCTAAAAGCTGTGGGGACCTACGGAGGGGTTTAAGTGATAGAGTCAGACTTGCGGTTTATCCAACAGCACAGTGGTGTTTGGAGAGGAAAGAGAAAGACCAGAGTTGGGGAGAGCGGTCAGGAGGCTCCTGCAGCACCAGATTAAGGAGGAAACGGTTGCACGCCAGTCACACGACTTTTAGTCAGTGTTAGATTCTGCCAGGTTTCGAATAACACGTCCTTCATCTGCCACTATGGCCACTTACACATTCACTGTTTCCATTTGTGGTTTTAAATATGAACGTGGGGTTATTCGTCTCCCTAAGGAGTCCATGTGCTTAGTAGTTTAGAGGCTACTGGAAATCTTCTTGCCAATGAATGATTCCTGGAAGTAAGCCAGGCCCTTTGGGTGGGAGGGATGAGAAGGCCAGAACTCCAGGAGAGCTGGATGGAAAATGACAGCTCCAGGCTTGTAGGAGTGAACCCACCCACACGTCTTAGAAGTCATGTACTCATGGATTGCTCAGCTGTCTGCTCCCAGGGTATAATTTAGTCCCCTACTGCACCTCCCTATATATCCCAGCATACAGCAGCTGACATTCCCTTTGGGTCACTGCCACGCTAAGCTGATGGAAATGACTGCAGTAGTCCAAGTGTTTGGTCCTTCTGTACCTTGGTTTCTTTGGCAAGGAGAAGGTGATGACTCTATTCTCCTTAAAACTGTGTGAGAGTGTGATTTAGATTGGAAAGCGGCATGACCATATCTTAGACCAGAGGTCATCAAAGCTGTCAATGTTCTTATTTGCCATGGGACCCTTTGTGATATGAGAGCCCATAGGTAAAACAGAGAGAAATTCATCTGCTGCCGATGAAGTGGGGCAGGAGGGAGCAGTGTTCTTTCATCTTAGCTCCTTGCCCTTGTTCTACCAGATCAGGTCAGGAGAAAGCCAGAGCTGGATGTTTCAATAAAGCCCTGCGGGTCAGAGACTACTGACAGGCAGAGCGTGAATATTTTCTCGCACAGGAACCTTGGGAACCTTCTGTCCCTTATGACTGAATTGTGTCCAAGTGACACGCAGGAGACCAAAGGCAGGAACCCTGTCTCATTCATCTTTGATTATGTCCCTAAGTGCCCAACACAAGTTAGGTGAATGAATCAAAGTCTCTGTGATTTGTTTAGTAAATGACTTCTTTTGAAGGTCCTAGTTGTATCTCAAAGTCTGGAAAGGTTAATTTACCCAAAAAGGGCAGTTGGCTCTCCTTTGGTTTGCTGAACTCTGGACCCATGTGCCTAACTCTTCATTCCAGTGAGAAACTGGGCATAAAGAAGCCACAGAATTGGGGGGGGGGTCTGCTGTGAGCAGCCCGTGGGGGGTCCTGCAAGGAGCTGGAGGGAAAGGGGGACCCAATTCACATGGGAGCCTTTCATGTCCTTGGCCCTCCCTGCCAACCAAGCACCGTTCATTAGTGCTCGCCAGACAGCTCCTTAAAATGTGCTCATGGGTGCATACCTGCAGATGAGTGAGCCCTTTCTCCTCATAAATTTATCCACGCTTAATGTACACCAGCACTGTGCCAAGAATTCCTCATCTATTATGTCATGGAATTATCATATAACCCCGTGAGGTAAGTACTAATGTCATCATCATCTGCAGACATGGAAACTACGGCTTCTGAGACGGTCGTTAAGTAACCTGCCCATGGTAACTAAGGCTCAGTGAGGTTGAATAACTTTCTCAAGGTCACATAGCTTCTGACCTTGAGAAATGTGGCTCATTTTCGGTCATATAAACACCCTTTGACTACAGCACGAGAGAGAGAGGACAGGGCCATTCATTCACTCGGTATGTCTGGAGCATCTGCTATAGGTCAGGACGGTACTGCTCTACTGTCCTGTGCACCATGGCTCCAACAGTGATCCCAACACACAAAAGCCTCTGCCCTCGAGGTGTTTATATTCTGGTGGACTCAACCAGCGTGAGGTCTGTCATCTCACAAAAGCCTTCCCTACCACTTTTGGCCCTGGTGATATCTTATCTCCCTAAGTCCTACAGCTCATGACACATGTACCCTGCTGGCCTTAGAGTTCTTAGCTTCTTTCAAAATCAAGACAAAGGGGATATGGCAGACTAGTAGCTGGATTAACTTATAAGTTGCTTTTTCATTTTCTGGTGGTGATACTGTTTGCAGGAGTCATTTTGACTCTAAGTGGCTTTGCTGTGTTTGTTAGATTTCTGTGTGGGTAAGGCTTATTGTAAGCCTCCAGGAAGCAAGAGCTGTGGCCTGTTCTTTGAACCCCTCCCAAAATTCTTGGTGCCTTTCAGGGCAATTCTCAAGGGCTTAGGATAATATTAATAATTCTTTTATATATTTTATGTATAATATTAAAGTATTAGTAATACTAATGTTATTAATAATCTTTCCTGAGCACTAACTGTGTGCTGGGCACTGTGTCAAACGTTCTACCGCCATGATCTCATTTAATCCTCACCATGACCTGTTTGCTTTTATTATTATTTTCTTATGCCCATTTTGTAGATGAGGACAGCAAGATTCAAGGTCACCGGTAGGAAGTGGGTGCCTGGTGGTTCAGCCCATGTGTCCTGGACGTGAAGATGAAAGGAACCTGGGAATCAGGCTGTACTGCTCCTTCCTTTCTTACCCTTCCTAAACAGGCATCAGGACTGAAAAGGATGCTGTCACCAGCCTAACCCCCTGCACCAGAGGATGCCCAGAAGGATGCTTCTTCACTCTCTCTGATAGGACACTGGGGTTAGGGATCCTTCTGGTGAGTTCTGGCCGAAAGCATCTTATGAGAACAACTGTTGAACCTTTGGGATGGTGGCTGAGGAACAGAAATTCAGAGCGGCTGCCAACATACGGTGCATGGACGGTATCTTGACTTCCTTGCTAGTGTCATCGTATAAATTGTTCCCATCCTAAGTGCAGCAAGCCGTGATGAACTAACTCTGAGTAAGAGAAATGACAGGTTAACTTGCCTTTCATTTGTTTTCCATAATAAGTGCAATATTTCCTTGAACACTTTAAGTCATTAACATTTCAATTTATTCATGTTCTTTTTCTCCGGTGCCCTAATGGCAATATTACATAATTATATTTGCCGTCTAACCATCAGCTTTGAAGGCTCTTTGCATGCCCAAAGGGGCCACTGCCACTGCCTTTGTTAGCCTGTCGGTTTGAGGAGGCAGTTGGCTTTTTTACACCACCTTACCTACTTTTTTGCACAGAGGTTGTTAAAGGGGAAAACAAGGCCAGTGCATTAAGTGATGAGGAATTGGGTGAGGGTCCAAGCTCACTCTGGCCATGTACTAGGCGCTGTTCCAAGCACTTTACGTGTATTCACTTATTTAATCCTCCTTCAGGCCTCTGAGGCAGAGTCTATTATTATCATCACATCCACTTCTAATGGCAAGGAAGCTGAGACATAGAGAGAATGAGTGACCTACCCAAAGTCGCACTAGGTTAGTAAGTGGCAGGGCTGGGCTTTGAACCTGTGCCGTCCTCGTCCAGACTCCACCCACTTCCTTACTACATCATGTCTTCCCTGGGGATGCATGAGTCCAGGCAGATTTCAAAGGCCTGCTCTGTCCACCCCTTTCCGTCTCCCCTGTGACCTGACTCTTAACATATAAACTAGTACTGCTGCTGTGTGGTCTTTGGGTTAAAAAGGGTGGGAGAAAAGTGGCAAAGTGATAATGGCACAATTAAGTGTGCTTCAGCATTCTTGCATCAAACCTCCAAATGGTAGACTTTGCCTAAAGGCTCACGGCCTTTGAGAAGTTGTTAGGTTTAAAACACATGAAGGTATAAGCAAGCATAAATTTTAATGAGCAAATTTAAAATGCCCTCCCACCCCCAGATCTTACCATTTGAAGATCATGACTGAGGCCATGTGCAGGTCAGCAGGCATGCCTGAAAACTAGGAAACTTTCTGATTGTATTGGCATTGCTCCTTTAGGTTACAGGTGAATTTCAATCGGCCTTCCACAAATCAGGCCCTGAATATTTCTCAGTGTGTCTGTTAGTACACACCGAACTCTACCTGGGCACATGCCAGGAGGTAACAGAAATTATTATTACATCAAAATAATTATGCCTGTGCTTTTGGTCTTAGAAACACAAACCGAGGCTACTGATGTGGAAAGGGGAAGAGACTAAGAGGAATATTTTAATTTTGGAAAACAGGCCTTAACCATCAAAGAAATTGCACTCTTTAATTCATTAAAAATTACCACATTCCTTTCAAATGAGAATAAAACTAATATATATTTTTTTAATGAATGAATGAATGAATTTATTTATTTTGGGCTGCGTTGGGTCTTTGTTGCTGTGCATGGGCTTTCTCTAGTTGTGGTGAGCGGGGGCTACTCTTCATTGCAGTGCACGGCTTCTCATCGCGGTGGCTTCCCTTGTTGCGGAGCACAGGCTCTAGGCACGCGGGCTTCAGTAATTGTGGCTCACAGGCTCTAGACCTCAGGCTCAGTAGTTGTGGCTTACAGGCTTAGTTCTCCACGGCATGTGGGATCTTCCCAGACCAGGGATTGAACCCGTGTCCCCTGCATTGGCAGGCGGATTCTTAACCACTGCACCACCAGGGAAGTCCCCAAAACGAATATTTCTTAATGCTTGTTCATTGTTAATATTATGCCAATTACTGCATTATTCTTGGTTGATAAATATTCAGAGGATAAATGAAGCCCACAAGATGGATTAATTCTCCAGCAGTACAAACAAAAACTTTCAATATTTTATATCACATAATTAAATGCTGTTTGCTGTTTCTAGAACCAGGACTTGGGACATGTTAATTAATTGCTTCAAGAAGACAGTAAGACATGTTTCACGGTTGATAGTTGGAATCAGATATTTATAAACACTGCACAACACTGCTGATGAATTACATTTGCAGAATAAATCCTACCTGCAGAAGTCTGGGGGCACCATGCCATAAACATTGATCCTGTCACAGAGCTCCAGGGCAATCGTCATTGTGAACCAGCCAGTGCTGAGCCAAGTGTTGGAGATCTTCCTGGAAGGAACAACAGTTAAGTCTGCAAGCTGGTAAAATAATCATTATACCCACTCCATCTTAAATCCTTTCTGGAACAAGGCTGACTATAAACACACACACGCTTTCTCTCTCCATTTGGTAAACTCTCTCTGTCTCTCTCTCTCTATCTGCTAAAGCTGGAAGTTTAGCAGATAGAAATCTGTTACTCATACCACCATATTCTATGATAATATGATAAATGATGTCAATACTCCATCATGGTGGATTCTCAAGGGACTTCTACATAGTCAAAGATGATGATCAATGTTTCAATGTTTAAGTGTGAATTATTACCACTCAATTTCTTGTAAGATGACAATCCTCGTGTGTCGGCTCTTTATTAACTAGAATACTTGACTAGCTATAAGTATTCTTTTTTCTCCACACAGGGTGGATAACGAAGAGCTTACTAAATGTGAATAAACACAGTTGTCTTTATCTATCAATTGATCAACTGATCGACCAAATGATTTAGGGTAGAAGCTTGCCTTCAACTAGACTAATTAGCACCAACATCTTGACTGAATGTCTTTCCTTAGAAGGAGTACATTCATTTGGGAATGGGCTAATGACCAGAGGAAAAGGGACACAGGGATGCTTAAGTTTAATTGAGCATTTGCTTTATTTTACCTCAGAACAGTCCGAGCCCTGTGACAATTTTTATTAAAAGACCAAAAATGGACAGAATTTAAGGAATAAATCGGTGGGTTCCAACATTCATTCATTTGCCCATTCAAACATCTGTATTGAGCCCTAACCACACACCAAGTCTAAGGGTAATCGTGGAGACACAACATCAAGGTCTAATTTGACTTGTGAGGATGACTCGGTCCACCATGCTATGCTGCTGTGGATATTAATTTCAATTCTTCGGGGGTTGCTGCATTTACTTTTTTTTTTTTTTTCAGTGCTTGTGGCATGCATCATTAGCCAGTTTCAAACACCTTATCCCCAAGGTCAGACTGTCTGACTTTGCCCAGCCATAGCACCGTATGTGATGTGAATGAAAGAGCCGCAGGAAAGCTTTTCTACTTGCACTGCATAGCACCCCTCTTTGAAAAGGAAGAGTTTTTGTTAAGCAGTTTGCATTATTTCCATTTCACATAAGGAATAACAACCAAAAAAGGCATTTTAAGATGTCTTTTTTCACATACCTGACAGGAATGGGTAATTTAGTCATTCCTGAGTTCGTGGCTTCAACTTTCTAGTTCTTAACTCCTTTACTCATTTTTATTTTCCATTCCATTGTATCCGGATCCAGTAATATCCCAGGAAGTACATTTAAAAAATTCTCAAGATGGAAATAGCATGGATTTGTATCTTACTAGTTTCTGTTATTCACCAGCGAAATGACCTGAGGCAGGTTATTGCTGTTCTTTGAACCTTGATTTCTTATCTAGAAAGCAAGCATGGGAAGCTCTATCTTCCTGTGCTATTTCGAGGACTAAAGGAGAGAACATCATAAAAAGTTATCTAGTCTGGTGTGTTGATACATCAAGATCCCTTCCTCGCCTCTTGGTTGCTAGGTTGGAGCAAATGAAATAATAATTCAACCATTACTCCCAGTGCTTTTTAGCACACACAAAACAACTGATATCCTTCCAACACTGCTACTGGCTCTTGTGTAGGAGCCATCATCAGTAGTCAGGGCAGTACAGTAAGTCCCTTACATACGAACTTCCAAGTTGCGAACTTTCATAGATGTGAACGTGCGTTTGCACGTCCAATCGCATAAGTTAGTTCACGTGTCTGGCGTACATAGTCACATGCATGCATCCTCTACGAGTGGTTGTGCTTTTGTGTACTTTACTGTACAGTACAGTATAGAGTACAGTAGTACAGTATCTTTATTACAAGCCCAGGATGTCATCTATGATGAGGAAAAAAGAGCTACTACCCAGACATCGCTGGATTTTTTTTTTTCAAGAGAGTAGATAGAATTGAATCCAGCAAGGGAATGGAACCTGTGCCATCAGCATCAGGCGTGAGTGACATTGCTGCTTGCCCTCCATCTCCTGTTGCTGACGATCCTTCAGCTCTACCATCTCCCACCTCCTCTCCCTCCTCCAGTCAGTAAGTCTTCTTGCCTGTTCACTAGATGCCAGCTCCTGTATGCAGCTGTTGTACTGTACTACTGTACTTTTCAAGGTACGGTACTGTAAGATTAAAAACTTTTTTTATTTTTTGTGTTTTTTTTAATGTATTATTTGTGTGAAAAGTATTATAAATCTATTACAGTACAGCACTATATAGCCGATTGTGTTAGTTGGGTACCTAGGCTAACTTTGTTGGACTTACGAACAAATTGGACTTATGAACACACTCTCAGAACGGAACTTGTTCATATGCAGGGGACTCACTGTAATTAGAAAATTCTGGAGCCTCCAGCCTACATAGGTATTAACAATCCCCCTTGTTTTTCACCAGGGCTCTAAATTCATAAGAATTTTGGGACTGAAGGAGGTGGGACAGAGCAGAGCTGACTGTATGGGGGAGGGGAAGAGAAGGCAGTGCCTTGCCTCAAGTTAGACCTTGTCTTCACCAAGGCTGTGACCTTGAGATGGCAGGTTGTTCTAGACTTAAACTGGGAGAGTGAATAACTGGAATGATGTGGAGCCCAGGAGGAGAATGACAGCTTACTTATACCCCCAGATTCCTGATCCAAGAATCACACTCATGTCCCTATGCTTTTGAGTTGTAGGAAACACTAAGATGGCTTTTCCCAGTGGTAGAAACTTCCCTACAACTTTGGCTTTCTTTTGTGTGATGTAGTAGAAATCACAAGCCACAGCCTGAAATATAGGGGGATGAGACTCTACAGGAAAAGATTTAATGGGTAAAAATGGGGAGAATAAAAAGTGGAGGACTGAAGAAACTAAGGTGAACATTTCTTTAAAGTGCCACTTAAAATTCCCCGGGCTTGCGAAATAGTAGTCTTTTGGGATCACATGCTATAGATATGCAACTGCTTTGTGCTGTCTTTCTAAAAAGATTTGAACTCTTTTTCCAACAAAGGAATATCTAGTGTTTTTACACTTAATCAGCTGTAATGAAGGAATATGAAGAGCTGTCATGTGCTAATTAGGGAAAATTATCAGATATTCTTTTATATGATGAAGTAACACACTGAGCTGATAATGCTATAGTACACACTAAATTACAATTAAAGGCCTTTCTGCTCCACCAGAATCTCATTTATAATCTCTATGGAAATATTCTTCCTGCAGTTATTTCATTTATACTTCTTTTATCTAATTACTATAATATTGGTTCTGAATCATATTTTCCTAATGTACCCTGTTCAATTATAAAGTTATTTTCAAGTGCAGTTACTTTCTAATATCAAAGAATACCACTTGGCCATCTATGTCATTTGTCATGCTTCTTAATTGCAGATTGTTCCTGAGACATTTTTTTCTCCACTTTTAAGTAGGGTGAAATTTCCATAAATCAAAATTTATTGAATTATCTCATTTCTTCAAAATATTAGCCTGAAATGAATGTCCTGATTATGAGATTGCAAAATTAGATATTCCATACTTTGTGTATCTTTAATCCATGCCACTGTTTTGTTAGGTTTCAAGAAAAGCGTACACAGAGGCAATACTGTTAGACCTTAAATGTTTTGTGTTTTAGTTTATAGAAATAGTTTTGTTGTGAAGGGCTGTTTCTGACTTTGTTCTTTAGCTTCGAGTAGACTGAAGATTAAGAATATGGACACGTGAGAATATTGAGTCAATAAAATATTAGCTTCTTTAAGACAGTTTCTTAAAGGTAAGAGGCAGAAAGATTCTAAAAGTTGACAGTGTACTTTGGCATCCTACAAATCCATCAGTGTGATTCCCTGTGTGGGGACTGCATGGATCCTAGTAGATGGATGAGAAGGCTGGCAGCCAGTCCATGAAATTTTATCTGTCTCTTACCATCTGGGCTCACTAAGGACACAGGCTTATTGAGCAAAATGTTTTCACTGGTCAGAATTTAATGAATTTAGTGAGTGGGTTATGTCCTGATGTGAGATTGTTTCCTAAAGATGTAAGGATGTAATGACTAGTCTCCAAGTTTTCAACTTAATCCCTTAAGAAGATCCAGAGCAATGTGTAAATATCCTAAATAGCTAACACTGCAGTAGTGTTTCAGGAATACTTAAATTTAGCAAACAACCATTAAACTCAAAAGAGAGAAGTGTTTTCTATTGAAGAGAGTCTTTCTACTTATTTTGAATTTTCCAACCAGAAAAAATGAAACTGTAAATAACTTCCCTCATTCTCCTTCTCTTATAAAGTGCTCTCTTAGTTAAATAACTCATTCAAATGAGCAACAGTCTGGGTTTTTTTTCTTATTTGTGGTTTTTAAAGGACAGTAAGTGACTGGATTTCATGACAGCATGTGATGGCGACCAGAATCCCCCACGTGATCTACTGGCTGGGCTAACCATGGAGTCACCTGGGCTTCCAGGGAAGGAGGCCACAGTGCCAGTGGCCAGGTCCACCTCTCCTCAGTCCATCAGATGCCATGTCCGCTTTTGCCTGGACCAGGCCTCAAATGCTCACAAGGTTTTAAGGATTTAAAAAGAAAGCTCTTCCCTGCAAAGAATTTGGGAATGATGACCTTTGGTCTTTCTTTAAGCCTCTGTTCTTCATAATGAGCTGCCTAAGCTGTAGCCAAAAGGATTTAGTGCTTCACATTCTTTACTTATCGTATCTCTTTAGTTTTAAGATAAGAAATTGATGCAGGAACAGGTTTTGTAAGGGAGGGGGTAAATTACATCACTAAATGTGTATTAGTTATAAACATACGTATTTTAGAATTAAGGAAATGAGGAAATTTAATTATTAGACTGGTCCCACGAGGCCTAGTCACTATGCCCTTGTCACATGTGAGGTTACTGAAATGTTAGATATCTTGTCCAAGGCCATATAACTAGAGAGGATCAAAGAATTCCAACCCAGAGCTGTGTGTTTGGACTACACCACACTGCTCCTTTCAATACCTATAGCTGTCCTTTTCTTCACCTAGATTTGGCCAGCTCCCCACCCTTTATCTCTGCTTCCTCTCTGGCTACTCCTCGCCAAGCACTCCTGTTGCAGCCACAGGGACTTTTCTCCAAACCCCTGGAAGTCCTCTCACCTCCGAGCTCTTATGCCCATAAGGATGTTTCTCTCTCCCCTTCTCAGGTTCTTCTTTACCTGGATAAATACTTATTGGCCTAGGTCTCAGCTTAAATACACCTTTTGGAGAAAGTCTTTCCATCACACCCTCATCTTCTAGACCAGTGCTTTTCAAAAGATTTTGACCTATAGTCAGAAACACATTTTACCTCATGATTGAGCATATATGCTCACATGGTTTTCATTTCATTTTAGTCTTCTAAAGTGTGTAATTTAGTTTTTTTAAAATATACTCACAGAATTGTGCTCTCATCATCCCTATCTAATTCCAGGGCAATTTTATCACTTCAAAAGAAGACCCTGTATATGTATATTTCTATGTATAAAACCGAGACAAATTTTATCCCATGAAATAATACTTTGCCTTACTTACTATAGGAGATGAATGCTGATATTGTCTGTTTTATTCCATTCTTTCCATTACATTAAAAAAATCTTGCAGTGACTCAATACGTACATTTCATGTTCCATTACTGAGTTGTAAGCAACAGTTTGGTAAGCCTTGTCCTAGACTACAGCAGGTCTCTCTGTCCCACTGGTCATAGCACCGTTTTCTTCCCCTCACATGACCTAGCACACTGGCCACTACTTGGTGAATATCTGCTGGCCCTGTTAAGACTATATTCTGGGAGGGCAGGGTCTAGATCTGCCTTATTTCTGACTGTGTATATCCCCAGTACCAGGTGCAGAAAAGTAATAGGTACTCAGTCAATATATGTTGACGGAATAAATATTTGCCTTTGAAAGAGAAACATAACCCTATACACTTATTTCTGGTTAGTGTTCACACAAGTAAAATAAAATGCAATAAACCTATTATCTTGCACTTACTACCAGTGTAAGCCAGGAGCAGTGTTGCCTCATCTTCCAGAGTAGGGATTTGGCCCTGAATTATCTGCATAAATGTCTCAGTGCTTCCTTTCACTTTGCCCTATAAATTCAGCTTCAGCAGTCCAGGCTCCAGGAGGACCCTACCGATGAGCTCTATAGGTGGCATGAGCAGTGTGGTCACAACAAAAAGCACTGAGCAAAAGCCTTTAGCAATAAAATGATGCCATTTGCAGCAACATGGATGGAACTAGGGATTATCATATCAACTGAAGTAAGTCAGAGAAAGACAAATACCATATGATATCACATATATGTGGAATCTAAAAAAATAATATGAATGAACTTATTTATAAAACAGAAACAGACTTACAGACTTAGAAAACAAATTTATGGTTACCAAAGGGGATAGTGGGGGAAAGAGATAAATTAGGAGTTTGGAATTAACTACTACTATATATAAAATAGATAAATAACAAGGACCTAGTGTAGAGCTCAGGGACCTATATTAAATATCTTGTAATAACCTATAGTAGAAAAGAATCTGAAAAAGAATATATATATTATATATGTATGTGTATATATAATATGTATAAAAGTTATATCTCTATAACTGAATCACTTTGCTATACACCTGAAACTAACTCAACACTGTAAATTAATTATACTTCAATTTTTAAAATGGTTTAAAATTAAATTAAAGAAAAGCTTAAGGAGATGAGCTTATCTGACATAAGCATAAAAAAAAAAAAAAACCCTTTGCTTTTGTTGAATCAGCCAGCAAGGACATTTCCTCACCCTCCCCTGGACCCCGGGCACCCCCTGCCCCCGCCTCTGTACCTGTCTTTGCCGGTCTCGCGCTTGAAGAGCTCATCAAACTGCAGCATCTTGTGGCGCGTGATCATGAAGGCCTTCAGCCGGGGCAGCACCTGGTTCAGGAGCTGCAGGTTGTTGTAGACCTGGCCCTTGCCGTCGCGCCGCATGTAGCTGCTGGGGCCCCAGAAGATGAACACGGTGCCCTGGCTGACGTTGAGCAGGTCGTGGCGGTTGCGGAGGATTCGCTGGAGGCTGGAATGCGCGATGACCCTCAGGCTGGTGCGATTGCCCACGTCGTGCCCGTAGCCGCGCGTAGGGGCGTCGTTCATGCGGATGACGCACTCGGTCTGGTCAATCCGGGGGCCTCGCAGGCTACGCAACAGATGCCCCGAGCTCGTCACTAGGGCGCAGTCCCTGCAGTGCATCTTCAGGGGCTGCAAGAAGGGGGAGAAGGGTCGCATCAGCGGCAGCACTCGCTTGGCACCAGCAGGTCACTTTCCTGCCTCCGAGGGCTGCCATCTTCACTCCTCTCCCTCCTGTGCCAGAATACATCCCTTCTGCTATTACCTCATCCACCCCTACATTCTCTTCCAGACTGGTGACAGGGAGTACTGGACAACAGCGAAAGAGAGCCAGCGGCGACCTGTTGACCACTGGGCTCTGGGCTTTACTGATATTAATAGATCAAATCGTCATATCAACCCAGCAAGCTTGCTGTTGCTGCCATTTTACAAATAATGATACCCTAGGCTCAGAGCTGTTGAAAGATTTGCCCAAAGATGCATAAGTAGCAAGTAATGAAGTCATGCTTTCAAACCCAGGTCTTTCTGAATCCAAAGTTACCCCCAAGTTGAAGAAAAGACTATACTACACTTTGCTGTGACACTAGTTTTAATGCTCTTAACTCACCTTATTGGAAGTTAAGCATGTATCAGTGTTCTTGGATGCTGTACAAATATATTTATCCTAAATAGACATCGTCTAAGAATCATGTGAGAAAAGACATGCAAATTGTAACCCCTCAGAAGCCATAATTTTGAAATGACAATTAGGGGAGTTTCTCCCATTTTAAGGGGAGAGGGAGAGAAATTGAGTCAGTCCATCTTCAAAAATGTAAAGAAAGCCTCAAGCTCATCCACTGTACTTGCGCCCTGTGGAAGCCCTGGCCCTATGGTGCCCACCAGGGACAACGCCAATGACAATGCTCATTTCAACATCCTGAACCAGTGATGTACTTTCTGAACACCTACATTCTTACAAGTTAAACATTTCCCTGTTCATGTTTAATGAGAAATATCTCTCAGTTGCTGTTTGAAGATAATGTAATTAGGGCCGGAGGCCCAGCCCAGCAAGTGCACAAAAAAATGATAATCGAGAATGTTCTGAAGGACAGTTGCACCGTTAGATTTTCCCCAGAGCCTCTGCCCTTCCTCTCTGTTAACTCTGAACTGGACGCACTGGCTCCCTGCACAGTCTCAGAAAACTGGATCCAATTTAGTCCTGCGTACATACAGTCTTGCATTTACTCTTGGAGTTTCCTAAGCCATAGCTCTGTCTTCCGAACCAGACAGAGAGAACCAAGGGCGGTCACCCCAAGGGCACCCACACAGGATGGTCCAGGCTTGTCTACACTACCTGTTAGCTATGGGACCTTGGCAAGTCACTAACCTCTGCAAGTCTCACTTTTCTCATTTTTAGCCGAGGATAATTGATGCCCCATTCCACTCTGATAGAATTAAAATGTACACAGTGGTAGGTTGAGCCATTTAAAATTGCCAGTATTTGACCTGCGAAAGTAGCAATTGCATGGGGTTGAACCCAGTCCTTACCATAGGACGTGGCACGGCGTCATTATTTAAGTGAAGGCTGCTCTGGGGCTTTTCAGGCAGAGTAGAGCGCATGGTAGGTACGCACCACATCAGTGTGTACTGATCGCTCTGGGTTTCTAATTGACACATGGGCTTATGAAATGGCGATTCTACCACTGCAAATTCTCATCATTCATTTGACATCCAGTTACTCTTAGGTGACAAATGTACTGGGCAGCAAGAATGCGAATGGAATGGAAAAACAGAGCCCCTCAAAGTTTATACTTTACTGGGGGGCAGTAGGTCAGAGATGTGCAATGACATGTGACACAATGCGGGGCTGTGCCGCACTGTTAGTAAAGGGGGCTGTTTAGAGCACAGCCGGGCTGGGGGCACAAAGGAAAGAGGGGTCAACTTAGTTAATATTTCTGATGTTCTCTATGTGCCAGGCACTGTTCTGAGCTTTTTATATAATTTCATTAATTCTTCCAAAAAACCTGTAAGAAAGATACTACATCGTCACCCCTGTTTTACTAAGGAGAATATTGAGAGGCAGAAGAGGAACCCGGTTTGTTAGGGGTTGTTTGGGTTTTAGCATCCAAAGTCCTGTATCCTGGGAAACCTCTACTCGTGTGAAAACATTCCTACAAAGATGACAGGGGCGTCTGCAAATAGCATGTGAGTAAATGATGATTAGGATCAGGAGACCCAGGGTCTAAAGCAGACTTTATCACAAATTGGGTACTTAACTTTCTCACCCCTAAAACAAAGAGAGCGCCAACTAGACACTTGTGGCCAGATGATATTCATTCGTTCATTCATTTAACAGACACTTATTAAGCACTTAATACACCCCTGAGGTACAGTGTAACTCAGTCCATTTGCTTAATAAGGTCACTTTGCAAAATTTCATTCCACTGGACCCGAAAGCCATTGGGACCTGCTTTTTCTCCTCAGACTCACCTAGAACTATTATCCTGAATTTTCCAGTTTGATTTATAATTTCAAGACATTGTGCTCATTTTTACTGGGGAAAAAATTCTAAAGAAAGGTCCCAGCATTTCTTTCCCCATAATTAATTATTCTGCTGTGATTCTCAGAGCATATGAACACCCTTTCAGGGAAGGCCAAGGTTCCTGACTGTGCCATACGGACCCTCTGTGATTACTGGGCACCACCAGAACATGCTGGGATCCACCCAGTCCCAGAAAGCCCTCCCTCATGAGTCCTGCCCACCTGCCTTAGCTCTGAGGTATTGATTACCTCAGGCACCAGCATCCTCTCTTTGAGTTGTACAGTTGCACCAAACAATGCAAAAAAGTTCTAAGTCTGAATTATGCCTTAAGTGCCTTTCGGTAAGTGGTGCCAATAAAGTGACAATAGCTCTTCTAAACAATGTTACACTTCCTGCAGTTGAGAGGAGCATGTACCAAAGGCTGAATCACTTCCAAAGGCAGAAACGAAGTCTCTTTCCTGCATTCAGAGGGACTAAGGTTATCTTGGGAGGCAGAAGGACTATACAAACTGAGGGACCCAGGTTCTTGGGATTTTACAGTCCCCTGAGACAGCCATGTTCCTGCACATCGAAGTACCATTATCATCCTGAGTGTCTTAATGACATGGGTGAAAATACTCGTGCCTTTGGTGAGTTAAGATTCCTGATGTAGTATTGAACATGTTCTTCCCTTAAACACTCAGATGCTGGGTTGATGAATCACTCCACGGAGCATGGGAAGGTGAACTTGGGGCTCTGCCAGCAGGCCAGGGAGATAAAACTCTACCGAGGACAGGAGACGGGAGGTGGCTCCTGGTGGACTCACTGCCTACCTACGCCTTCTCTCCTACTTCTTTCTCACAGTATTCAGCCTCCCTGATTCTTGGGGACATTTTCCTTAAAGACTCATTTGTTGAGGGGTTCCGCCCTTTGTAGGAAACATGGACACCCGTGTTAGGTTACTCCAACCTTGGTAATCTCTCTGGCTTCCTGACCTATGTACAGCACTCAATTAATACTAAATTGATTGATGGGTTGATAAGTGAGTGAATGAAAGCCAACCTCCAGGCTTCTCAGTCCTCTGAGAAAACCTCCATATATACAAAGAAGACATGATGTGATGCCCTAACCAACAATTCTCCTGCAGCCCTATGTACTAATACCACGGAGAGAAGCAGGGAAGAGCACAGAGGAAGCTCTGTCTGCAGAGAAGGAGGCTGGGCCATTTGCCTCAGGGCCACTCAACCCAGGGAACCACAATGGCCAGAGCCCAGGGCACTGCTTGCAATTAATGGCTGACTGGGAAAATGGCCCAGGACACAGTAAGGGCCATTAAACCCAGCTGGTTATTAATCCCCAGTAAGAGCTTGATGCCAAGGTCATTAGAGCTATTGTGCAGTGAAAAATGCTGAGGAAAATCTACAAGGCACGGAGGAGTTATCTCTTCTCCAGGACACTGATGCTCAGAGCAGCAGCCCAGGCCCCAGGAGTGCGGTGCACAGGAGCCTATGGGGGCAGGTGGGCTGGCTTCTAGAGGGAGTGCGCGCACGCGCGCGCGCACACACACACACACACACACACACACACACACACACGGGCCCACGCAATGCATCATCCCAGTTCCTAGGACAGTGGCTGCAACTCACTGGGGGCTCATGAATGTCTTAGAATATTTTAGAATATTGGGGATATTTAGAATATTTTAGAAGGTGTGAGTGAACTTCTCTTTCCACCCCCGACTCCCGGGGAAAAAAACCCACAATCAGGGGACAGGGGAGAATGACAACTTTCATCACAACTTGCTCCTTTGGGCCACAATGACAGGAGCAATTCCTGCTTGAGAAAGCACGCTCAGGGAATCCAGGTTTGATTTCTGTCACAGCCCGAAGAGCAAGAGCAGAAGGCATTCTCCCTGCGACCCAGCTGATGCCTCCCGAGCCTTTCTTAAAAGAACAGAAAAGGCTAAGTCCAATTTAACTTGACACCTAAAACACTCAGGGACGTCCTTGCAAACATTTGCAGCCCGGCAATCTCAGGCTTCGCTTTAAAAAATTCTGATTTATTGGGCAGAGAGAAAGCCACCTCAGAACATAATGTCCATTAATTTGGTAATGAGACCCGTCTTGCTCTGGGAGCTGATTGTTGGTCTGGAGCAAACATAAGATATATTAAATGGCTTTGCAGGTTTCAAGAATCTCTGCCCTTTCCAGTCTGATATTTTCCAGTAATTACTGGGCTTTTATTACCTGTCAATCTCCATTTACCCTGACACTGGGTATAAGCCACTTTGGTTATTTAATATGATTCACTGGAAAAAATGTTACTCTTCCAAGTTGCTCCTCTCCCTCTTGTTCAATGAAAGCCTTCCCATCAGCAAGAAGTCCTCCTCCCTCCACCAGAGCCACTTTCCATGATTTCCATCCACTGGCTGGCTAAGGATGAAGGAACTCCTTGGGTAGGAGGAAGTACTGAGCAGTGTTTAAAATATGGCCTTTGGAGTCATTGGCTTCGAACTTGCTTCTTCCACTCCTTAGGTGGATAATTTGGGGCAAATTGGCTTAGTTTCTCTGAGCCCCAGTTTCTTCATCTGTGATCTGGTTATAGTAAAGTCAGTCTTAAAGAAAAGGTTTGC